AAATAACTCTACATTACAGAGATAAAAGAAACTTATATACTGATTTCTTTCCTGAATTTGATATGTCTTTCCTTGTAATAGCCAAATACATAGAACAATTATGCCTCAACATCTCTTTCGGCTTTTCTAAGGTAGACATAGGCATAATGTTATATTATAGAGATGGTAGGGTTCTTCTGAAAAATAATATGCTTCTATTAAAATTGCATAGTAAAAACTCTTTCCTTCCTTAGAGTGAGGAAGGGATCCATCTTTGAATGTATCTTTATCCAAACTAGCCCTTGTTCAAAGAATACTAAAATAGAAGCTCCGGATGAAGCGTCTACTTCAGAATTCTGTCCAGGCACCATAGATCTCAAACACCACACCGCCATTATGCTCCATTTTTTTAGTCTTTGAGTGTGGTATTAAATGAAAAGGGCTGGTTTGGAGCATCAGAACAAATGATGCAGATCCAAACATTTCATCTTGGGGCAGCTAATGTTGGATCAAAGAGAAAGACTGGAGAATGAACCCAGGCTGTCATAGTAACTTTCCAGTTTGTGGAACAACTCCAAGCCAATCTCTGGAACACTGAAGGCTAAATTTCAAAAAAATGCCCCATCCCTTTAGTAATCCTGCTCTCACCATCACTACTGCCCAGTCAAACTTTCCATTAATAAATTAGGGGCGGGGAGATTAAATTACTGTGTTTTCTACAGATCTTAAAAAGGACTACATTAGGGAGAATCTCTCAGCTTAAAGTCCTAAGTGCTATAGAACAAAATACACACTTTCCTGCCAGAAAAGGAAGTGTAATAAAAACTGGCTTTTCTTTAAGTCATACCACTGAGGGAGGAGGAGTACTTTTTGCATGTATCTGTGTGTATGGTAAAAAGAAAAAAATTTAGTGCGGAGAAAGCTGTTCAAATTAGCCTAAAATAGAGTTTACAGATGAAATCTACCACTTACCTCCGTTGTTATTACATGAGCCTATTGTCAATGATTAACAAAGAAGCCACTGTCTCTTTAAACTATTCAGCGCTAGGAGTTCCCAAGTGGAATTTCCCCTAGTGTGTGTGTGTGCGTCGATCATCAGCTTAAAGCACAAGGGCAGTGTGGCTCTCCCCAAGTTGATGCTGCTGTAATAACACTCTCTAACACATCTACATGATTTTAGGCTCCAAAAGCTTTCAAACGCACCTTCCGTCTCTGTTCCTTAGTAAACTATTTCCAAGAATAGCGGGCCTCCAGTCCAGACTGCCTGCCCACTGAGCAAGGAGGAAATTTCCAGAGGAGAATGAATGATTTTCAATTCTCCCTCTTCCCACTATCTCCCAGGAGTGGGGGCAAGTGGCTTAAAATGCTCACAAGCTTGGAAAGCTGCTTCTGGGAAGCAAGGCAGAGCTTTAAGTCACAGAATCCTGAATGGGAATCAAAGAGAAAGTGAATCACCAGCTGGGAGAAGTGAGCTTGGACTTTGGGGACCGTGAAGGGAACTGAGTAGGAGCAGTGATTGCTGCTGGGACACGTTGGAGGGGGTGGCCTCCCTTCCACTCCATGTCCCTTACACAGCCTCACTGACTTCTTGTTTAGGAAAAGACACACACGCTCACACACTCACACTCATACACATACGCAAATGAAAAAGCAGTTTTACATTCTCTTTCACCACACACAAACACACACAGAGAACCTTGTCTTTCTCTTTTTGTTTTCCAGTGTTGGCATTCTGTTGCCTGTAAACATTTTTAAATGCAGTGGTCCACCAGGCTACTTGCTGTGACTTTTTATTTTTATATCATGACCCCTTTAGCTGTCACGGCTGATTGGCAGTTTTAATCAGATGCTTATGGTGGATGATGCCATAAAATTTTTGAACCCAAATAAAAAGTGATTCTGACTCTGCATTGCTTGAGCTGTAGAGTATTTCCTCAGCCTCGCCGCCATGCTGTTATGAAAAAGTGTTCTTATTGCATATAAATAGGAGTAAACCAAACCAACCATGATGAAAGGGAATTAGGAAGGTGCCCCCACCCACTTCTCCCTCACTCCCAGTTTTATGGGGCCAGTTGCAACTGGGGGCCAGCTGGAGTCCAGGGTGGAAGCAAATAAGCTGGAAACCTCAAGTCACTGCTGCAGTCAACTGGAAAAAGGAGCAAATGCCAGTGCAGCCTGGCCCCAGAGCCTAACTCTGGCTGCTACCCACACAACTCAGAGCACATCAGTACTCAGGCTGGCAGGCATATAGACACATCCGCCCTCTGCAGAGCTGCCTGTGGTGTAGAGTCCTGGCCACCGGCTTTCACACTTCTCAGATGCTCGAAATGTAACAGTGAAGAGCTCAGAGGGAATGCTTCCTGAAGGATTTGTGAGAGGTGTCTTCCCACACTCCTAACTTGGAATAAATACTATCAACCTATTGACTTCTTGAGAAAAAGCTTCAATCTTAGTTCCAAGTTTTCTGTGACTAATACTACTCCTCCTACCACTTATGCTAATATCATTATTATATTTCATGAAAAACACTTCTAATTATATTGTGAATTTTTGTTTTCTTAGGAAGAAGGAATAAAGAAAAAGTTGCTTGGCTTTTCAAGTTAGAAGGGATGGGATGAGGTTAAATAAATAAAGTAGAAAAGAGATTTTTATTTGTTGCAAATTAACAAGTAATAAACTGCAGTTGTGGGATAATAAACTTGTCCAACCTCCACTGCAAGTTCCCCATAAAAAGGAGAAGAAATAGAAAGGAAAAAAGGAAGGGAAGGAAAGAAGGGAGGAAGGAAAGGAAGGAAGGAAGAAAGGAAAGAAAGAGAAAAGGAAAGAAAGTTCCTATTGTTTACAGCTAGAATTAAAATCACATCACCCCAGCACAGCAAAGCCTACTTTGAAACAGCTGCCTTTTTATAGGACACATACCTGAGTCTTGCTAAGAAGACAGAAATTCAGAAGAGTTTGAAACTTTTTTAGAACTTCCCAAACTAGAGAAAAGAAAGAGGACAGATTTTCATCCTTTCTTTCTATTAAAACCATGCCATCAGGAATACATTCTACGGTGTTTTCCTTCAGGCAACTTCATTTTGTTGAATTTTTGCAAATGTCAGTTTTCACCCAGTTTATTTTCAAGAGAACAAAACAGACCCACACTTTCTTTACCTAACACTAGCCTGAAGAATCTACTGAATGCTATTGATTTTTCTCTCTCTGAGCACAAGCTCATTAACCTGAAACAGTGCGGAGATAAAGATATTTCACTGAAGCTATAACCAAGTGTCTGAAAACAAAAAGATCCCAAGACACAGCCCTCTCCCCGGGCTTCCCAATTTTTCTTTTCTTTTCTTTTTTTCAAATTTAGCTGGAGAAACTATGACATCGCTTTCTTAACCCTGAAGATTTTCACATCAGTGAAAGAATTCTTTAACTTCATCTTTCTACAGTGATGCTTAGCAAAATCAGGCTCCTGTCTTTCCACCGCCTTGTGCAGTCAGCTAACAGCTGACTGAGGAGCTATCTTGGATATATGGAAATGAAGTCTTCCTCCAACCCCCGCCCCCCAGGGACTTTGTCCGAAAAGGAAAAAGCAATCGGGAAGAAATTAGACAACACAGACATCAGAAGCAGTTCACTAGACAAGTCTCTCCAAGAATCGCTCTGAGTGGGGCTGCGTTTCTTTCATCTTCTCAATTCAGGAGAATGAGAAATGTCACCCTACTCTTAAAAAAAAAAATTAAGTAACAGCTATTTCACCCAAGAAACCGATATAACATTTTTTGTGTGTGGTCTTGACTTTTATTATTTGAGATCTCTGATGAGATCAGATGATCTGTACCCTCTCATTCAAGGCAACAGACGTCTTCGAACTGTTTTTTAATTGGATTTATCCTTTGAAACAGAAAGTGCATTACATTTAACTGGTCTTGCAAAGGGGGTTTTCTTCTCTTTACAAACCGAATTCCTTATATAAATTAATAACGGTTAAAGATGCTAATATATCACCATTTTAGCTTTAAAAAGAAAAACCATTTACATATTCTATAGTATTCTTATGATACAAAACACTTCAAATTCGATTACAGCAACTAAACGGATTTTTATGTTTCTGACCCAGAGCGGTTGTAACAATTCCCACCATCTACTTTAACACGCATTTTTATCAGAAAGGAGTTAAATTAAATACAAGCTATTGCAGCCCCTCCCTCCCCAATACTTTCTTTAAATCACTAATAAATAGCAACAAACGACTGTGCAATTTCAGAAGGGAACGGAGAGGCGGGTGTGAGGCCCTCCCTGGTTCCCAGGTCTTCTGCTTGGAGTCCTGGGGGCGGGAGCCCAGCGCAGGGGGGCATAGGGCCGGGCATCAAGGAGAAAGGGGACAGTGAGCGTCACCAAATCCCAGCAGGGACGGAGTGGGGGGGTGGGGGGACGGTGATAACGTCCTATTCTATGCTTCCCGAATTCAGTTGAAAATGCGAGGGGAAGGTGTAGTTTGAACAGCTCTGCAGAGGGGAGGGGCAGAAGGAAGAAGAAGGTCCATCTTTTTATACGAAATTCAAAAAAGCATTTTACATTTTAAATATTCACAATAAAGTAACTTCTAGTCAGTGTAACTCACGATTTATTTACAAAGAGCCTTCAACAGGTTACTTTAGTCGGCACAGCAGTTGTGCGGGGGGAGAAACGTCCCTCTTCCCGTCTGCTCCGAGGTCCCCGCGCCCTGGGTGCGCCCCCTCCCCGGCCGCCTGCGGGCCAAAAGCGGGGCGAGGCGGGAGGTGGGGGCGAAGAGGCCCCGGCTCGAGGCCACTGCCCGCCCGCCGACGGGCACCGGGTCTGGGGACCCCGCTTGGGGCGGGGACGGTCGCCGGGCTGCGGGCTGCAGTTGCGTCATTTACGCGGTGCATCGCGTGGTCCGTTTTTGCCTTCTTATCCGCCCCCGAGTCGCTCTCCCTCGCCTCCTCCCCACAACCCCAAGGTTAAAAAAATAGATATGTACATCTCAGAAAATAGCAAAGGGTCCCGCACGGGGCGCTCAGGACGAGCTCTCGGCCTCCGCCGCGTGCAGCAGGAGGCCGCCGCCGCCGCCGCCGCCGGACTTGTGCTTCTTCAGCAGCTGCGTGATTTTCTCGTCGTCCGAGTTGGGGTCCAGAGGCTTGTTGTAGTCGTCGTCCTCCTCCTCGTTCTCCGAGGCCCCCTTGAGCCGCTCGGTCTCGGAGTCCTGCTTCTTCTTGGCCGTGGCCATCTCGGCCGCGTGCTTCTTCCTCCACTTGGTCCGGCGGTTCTGGAACCAGACCTGAGGGCCAGAGAGGGGGGACAAGGGGGGAGACGAGGGCGGGAGGGATTGATCGCGGGCACACCGAGGCCACGTGCACGTCTCGGGGGGGCGCCTGTGGGCCCCCGACGGCCCGCCACCCTCCCTCGGAGACGGCCCTGGTCTGGGTCGCCAATGTCAGCCTCCATCGCCCCAGGTTCCTCGAGTGACAGACACCAGCAAACTGCCTGCCGTTGCCATGGCAATAGCAAGTAGCACAAGAGTATTGAGGTTGTCCGTGAGGAATTTCTCAGAAGAGGAAAAACAAAACTTGGAAACTTAAAATGAGCTGCCCTAAAAACTGAGCCCGCTTTCCTGCTTTCTAGTTGGAGGTGGAAAACTTTTCCCCCCTTCAGAAAGTCACCCTATAGTGGCTGTGATTTTATGCCTTATGTACTTTCTTACAGTGAGGAATTTTAAACAACCTGAAGTGTACTTGCTTTTCAGGGTGATTTGTGGGAAAAGGCACAGACAGTATTCGCCCCTATTATTCCATTCTTTTCCCTTTTGGACATTTGTATCACTTATCTCAGATCTGGATAGACACAAACATGGTAGGTGAACAGTCTCCTTCCCATTTATAATTACAATGTATGATGTAGGTTTTTTTTTTAAATCTGCTACGATACAAACACCAAATCAACCATAATAACCAACATAAATGAGTGACAATATCTCAGTCAAAATCATCACAGTAGTTTGGCTTGAGCGAGCTCTTTCGCGCTCTCTCTCTCTCTCTCTTCCTCCCTTTAATGTTTTTCATAAAACCAAAGTAAAGTGAAGGTTAGAATTATCATTGCTTATTTTTTAAAAGTGAAAAATTGCCAATTACATTATTTTCCCATACTAGCATGCCTATTATTTTAATAATGTTCCTGCCGAAGACATTTGCTTTATATACAAATATTTTTATGCCTATTCACATTGTTTGACACTGTTTGATACACATATTTTAACCTAAACCATCAGCAATAAGCAACCAATTTCCCAAAGATACTGAATTATCTTCTCTTTATGCTTCTCATCCATTATGTATTTTATCTACAGAATCCCAATTGTTAAGAAAGTGATTTTGATTTTCTTTATATAGCTATAATAATTCACTGCTAGCCATACAGGCATATTTACAGTGACAAATGAAGACCTCCAGATTACCGTGGTAGGCTCTGTACCAACCCACTGCAAAAATAATTTTAACGGTGATGGTATTCTAATGGCCACGTACAAAATCACTCCTGAAATGTATTTTATGATGCTTGTCCAGGGGGAAATAGCCTCTCACCAGCAGACAGGGTTAATGTTATTCCTAGTTAATTTAAAGAGCAACAATATAACTAAGGAAAACAGACTTATACCCCAAAGAAACAAATATAACAAAAAGAAACAAATATAACAAACTGAAAACGAGGGACAAAAGAGAATACTGGAAATACAGGAAACCATCAGGTTGAATTTTCCCAGCTGACTCAAATCTCTTTATTTTGCAGAGGAAGATTTCTAAAATTTGATCCCCTGGAAATTTACTGTACAACTCAATTATAAGTAAAGTGACGTTTTAATTATAAATTCTTGTCATGAACAGGACAGTATCTTAAATCTGCTGATAAATTTATTTTAAACAGAATTCAATCCTAAAACGGTAATAATCTTGTCAATTCATTTGGAAAATTACTATCCCAAAGTGATTGCGTTCAGCCAAACTAAAAGCAGGTTCATCTTTGGTAAGTGGTTAGATCCTGTGGATTTATTTTAAAAAAAACCAAAACTTGCAAGTTATAATACAGTAGCTCTATAATGATGATCTGCATTAGTAAATTATGTAACTAGTGGAGCCTGAATTGATAAACAAAATACTGACTATCTCTACAAATAGAATATACAGAAGCTCTCTAACTAGCGTGATCTATTCTCCGGGCTGATATTTCGGCAATGCTTTTATTCTCTAATAATGGCGAGTTCCTCTAGCACATGCTGCTATCTAGATTAACCTAATTTCAAAGGCGGGGGCTTGATCCCTTTTGTTCATCAACAGTTTGTCCGCCTGCAAGACCCCAGCGCCTTTGTAACCCCCACGCCCCTTCACTGCTCTCAACTTCTCCCCAGGCTCCTGGGACCGGCACCCCCGCATCTATTTGTGTGCACACGCCCCGCAAAGCTCCAGGCTCATCCCTCGAGGCTTGTGAGTTCCACTCACCTTGACCTGACTCTCCGTCATCCCCAGCGAATAGGCCAAGCGAGCCCTCTCGGGCCCCGCCAAGTATTTCGTTTGCTCGAAAGTCTTCTCCAGAGCGAAGATCTGCTGGCCGGAGAACGTGGGTCTCGTGTGTTTTCTCTTCCCGTCTTTGTCCAACAGAATGGACCCTTGATCTGCGAGAACCAACGAACAGTGCGGGAAGGGGGGAAACAGTCGGTTACAAGCAGCCAGCTCCACTGGGGGGACAAACACAGAACTCGAGAAGCAACGATTTGCGGGAAAAGAAAGCTGGGTCTGCGGCAGACACCAGAAGCGCAGTGGCGCTTCCAGCTCCGCGGCAAGCGTGTCCCTGAGCCTTTTCGCGTCCACCTGTGTTTTCAAAAGCCGGTGTGTTCGGAGCAGGAGTCAACACCTTCTGCTCGGCACCAACGGTGAACAGCTGGGGAGGCGACTGCGGAAGTTGACCGGGGCTGAATGGCGAGGCCCCATTCAACCAAGGAGTGCGGGAAAAGGCCACTCTCGCGTCCTAATCCAGGCGGTGCTCCCTCGGCCCCAGCGCCGTTGCAGGAGGATAGCTAGGTCCCCCACCTCCGCAGCCCCCTTCTCTAACCTGTGTCCCCGCAACAAAGGGCTCCTTGTTTTTGCACACAAGGGAGCTAAATCGCCCCAAGTCTAACTCCGCCGCGGCCGAGGGGGGAGGGGAAGGGGGCGCAGCCTTTGTTGGCCGCCCCTACGCAGCCACCAGAACCGATACAATAGCGTCTCCCGGACACCCCACCGGCCCCGCCGCCCTACGCTTCCCAAGGGAGCCTCCTCTAGGCTCCCGCAACTTCCCGCAGTTACTGCGGCTTAGCCGCAAGAAAGGAGATTCGGAGACTTGGAAAAACTTCGGGGACTTAGTCAAAAGCAAAGAACTGGGCGAGAAAAAGACCCCGGGCTGGGCCCTGAACCCCACCTGGAAGGCTGGGAGCCCCCGCGGCGCGGTGGCCCGCTACCCAGACCAGAGCGATCTTGGGGCTACCAGTGTGCCTCCAGCAAGGCCTTTTCAGGATGCTGCGTTTTACCGGTCCGCGTCCCTGCACTTCGCTTCGCACCCATCCCGTCCTCCACCCCCAGGCTCCTTCTCGTGTTAGGATGTCGGACTCCAAGAAGCCGCTAAATGTTCCTGGACCCAATGTGTCCCGGCCCCCGGTTCCAGGCGGGTGGGAAAGCGCGGGCTCGGGCGGTGCAGCGCAGCCCGAAGCGCCTGGGCGCTCGCCCTCCTCTAGGGGCCGCAGGCCTGTCTTCAGTGGGCGACAAGGACCAAGAGGTGAGGTGGGGACGCCTCGGGCGGAGACCTGCATGCAAATACACGCACTTCGCTCCCGGCGGCGGAGGGCTCGCGGAAGACAGGCAGCGGGTCGGGCCGGCACCGTGGAGCCCTGGACGGCAGGCAGCCGCCGGAAAAGCGGGGGTGCAGTGGCCTTTCCTCCCCTCCTCATTTCTCTAACCCAGGCCGGGCCTGCGGTCCGGCGGGGACGGTTCGGGTGCAGCCGGGCCTCAGAGGAGACGTAGGTCCCCATGGCAGTGTGGTCCGCACGGACACACGCACACCGGCTCAGCCGAGGCGTGCCCAAGACTTAGGGAGAGGGAGGTGCTTGGATGCAGCCACGCGAGCTCCGGAACGCTAGAATCCCTCGATGGACGGCCCGGCCCGACCTAAATCGAGCGATTCCCGCCCGCGCTGCCAGACCACTGGGGCGGGCTAGAGGGTGGGCCCCCCCGCCAGGCACGCACACCGGGGGCCGCGACCCGAGAGCGGGAAGAGCAGGCGCAACGGGCAGGCGCCCGGCTCGCGGGTGAGCGTACTCACGGGGGGCGCAGGCCAGGCGCGCGTCCCTCCAGGGCGGGCTCTGCATCACTCCGGGCCAGAAGATGGGCGTCCGGCCGGGCAGCTCGGCCAGCGGCTTGGGGTACCGGCCCACGGCGGCCACGGCCGCGGCGCTGGGGCTGAAGTAGAGCCCGGGCGGCGGCGGCGGCGGGCTCAGGCTGCTGAAGCGGGGCAGGCCGGCCAGCAGCCCCGCCGGGGACGAGGCGGCGGCCGCGGCCGCTGCAGCAGCGGCGGCGGCGGCAGAGGCGGAGGAGGCAGAGGCGGACGAGGAAGAGGAGGAGGAGGAACCGGAGGGCGAGGCGGAGGGCAGGGCGGCCCCTGCGGCCACGGGCATGGAGGGCCGGCTCAGGATGTCGTTGATGCCGTGCGGGGTGGCGGCCGAGAGCTGTTGCGGGGGGCTGCCCAGGGACGAGAGACCCCCCGCGGCCGGGGGCTTCAGGCCGCCCGGGTTGTGCGCACCCAGAGGCGGGGAGGGCGACGACGAGGACGACGACGAGGACGAGGAGGAGGGGGGCCCGGCAGGTAGAGGGGGGTAGGCGGCGGGGTACAGCGGGGTCTTCATCTCGGCCATGCTGTGCAGGGCGGCCAGGGGCGGGCTGCTGAGCAGGAACGCGCTCTGCCGGGTGCCCTCCATCGCCCCCACCGCTAGCATCCCACGGCCGGGCGGGCGCCCGCAGCCGCGCAGGAGGGCGCGGGCTGGAGCCCCGGCGGGCCCGGAGCAGCCGGCAGCGCCGAGGGCGCGAGCGAGGAGTCACCGGCGCACTAGGAGGCGACCTGCCACCTGAGCCGGGACCGCAGCCGCCGAGAGTGGCGCTCAGAGCCGCGCAGCAGGAATGTCCAAACCTGCACGCGGGAGACGGCGGCCCGCAGAGCAGAGGAGCGTCCGCGGGGGTCCAGCTGGTCTCCCGCTCCGAGTCCTGGGTGGGATCCCGGCTCTTCCCTCGTGCTTACTCTTCCTCGCTGCTCAGAGCGCGCCACTTCTCATCCTCGCCCCCGGGAAATAAGCAAAACAACCCCGAGCCGGCCCGTGAGTTTCTGCAGGGAAGTTGAGAGTCACCGAGTGTCCGCTTGGCTGTCGGAGGGTGGGGCCGCCTCGCCGTCCTCGGGGAGGGTCAAAGCACGCGGGGTCGGCTCTCCCCACCCGGATGCGCCGCTCTTGCCGCCGCGGGCGCGTCCGCCTCTGCGCCGGGACAGGGCAGCGCCGCGGGTCCCCGCGGGCCCCGGGCTTGGCGCGCGACCTGCCCCCCTCCGGCCGCGGGGCGCCGGAGTTGCAGTATGGGAAAGGAAGAGGGGAGGAAAACACGGAAAGCGAAGGCTGAGAGTGGAAAGTCTGACGGCTCAGTTCCGGCTCCGCTCGTGCGTCCACTTCTGCGACCCGCCTACCCCCGCGCCCTCCGCTGCCGCTCACTGTCCGCCTTCGGGTCCGCTCGCCCCCATCCTCGCCGCAGCTCAGCAGGCAGCGCTCAACGGAGTGCCGTCCTCGGGCCGAACTGACCCTTCCGCGGCTCCTCCACTTTCTCTCCTCTCCTCGCTCCTCGCGGGCCTGACAGTCGGACGCAGCTCTCACAGGTAATAAAACATTCGCATCCTCCCTGCCCCTCTTCTGCGGGGGCCGGAGGGAGGGGGACGTGGGGGCCAAAATGAGAACTTTGAGGGACGTCACTCCAGGGCGGCCGGGAGGGGCGGAGCCAAGGCGTGGGGCGCAGGCCGGGGGCGTGACCACCGCCTCCAATAGCGCGCAGCCTCGAGCCTCGCGTCGCTTCTGGGGCACGCCCACTCGGGAAGCTCCGCGTCCTCTGGTTGGCTGAGGCGGGCGAGCCGTGAGTGCGCGCCCGCCTAGTCCCCGCCTCCTCCCACCTCCTTCCTCCCGTGGGCGGGGCCCAGAAGGGGCGGGGCCTGGCGAGCGGCACGGTTCCCCTGTGGGGCCAGTGGCGGCCACAATTAATTGTGTTAAATAAAATGAGAAATGGGAGGGGGAAGCAGAGACGAAGAGGGTATTACTTTTTAAAGAGAAGAAGAATGAAAACCCAGCCCTTTTATGGAAAAGCAGTTCATGTTCTTCCCTTGCTGTCCCCCTCGGCCGTTCGCGTCATCCTGCCCCTCCCCCACCAACCAGCTCGGCGCCTCACCTCGAGCCGAGCCTGGTCCCGGGTACAGTGGAGCTGACGGAGCAGGCGGCGGTGCAGCCCGGACCTGGCTCCTTTTGAAGGGATTAATGAAAGGCCATCTGGGCTCTCCCAGAATTGTGTAAATTAATTTGTTGCTCCTTAAGCCTATAGATGTCCTTAATCCCCTTGTAGGCCGAAGGATGGTCATCCCTTCCTTCTCTCCGCCTCCCACCTTCCTTCTCTGTTCTTTCTCCTTCACTCTTCTTTGCATGCCTTGGTACCCCCCCAACCCCTGCCGGGATCGTTATCATTGATGGGTCGACTCAATGGCTGGGAACGGAATCAGCTTAATGGGAATATTTATCTGTCATCTGATTGCTTAGCTATGAGAGCAGTGAGATTTTTTCTTTTTTAACTTTTCTCCTCTCTGATTATTGTTGCTTATTTGTTTTGAGTTTACTTGGCGGAAGAGTCACCAAAATTCAGGCAGAGACTTCAGACACAGAAGTATCTGGGTACCCTCTGGGGAACATAAGCTTTTGAAAACCGTCTTCAGGGCTCTGGCCCCTGCTCTCAGTGCCAGGGTTGTTGCCGGAGGTGGACATGTCCTGGCTTCTGGGCTGTGGTAGTGGGTGTAGGGTTTAGAAGTTGAACGGTGGGTTCCTTTCTCTCTTTCTCTCTCTCTGCCTGTCTCTCTCTTCCATCTCTGGCCGGTCTTTAAGTTCCTGGCAGGGTCGAACTGTGCTCAAGAGGAGGAATACCTTGAGACAACTGGGAGAATTCGAGATGTTAAAGTAATGTACCCTGGGGAGGTATTACAATTTGGTCACGACGGCAATTTGGATGAGATCATTAAGTCCAAATTTAACGCGCAGAAAACAGGAAAAAAATGCAATAAATGGCTCAAAAAGGAAACTTGAGCGGCACCACCGATGGATGGAGTTTGTCTGTTGGTGCCAAAGTGCTCATTTGGGTCCAAGCACAAAAAGACCCGAGGGCTTAATCTACTTGGATAATCTTCCTTTCCAAAGCACTAGTTTTTAAGGGGCGTCAGTTTGAGCCTGAGTTTGAGATTCAGGAGGAGGGTTGTTTATCTTTTGGCACTTTTATTCTCTTCTGAGATAAAAGTAATGTTATTTGTTCCTCCTTTTCCTTCTCCACCTTCTTCATTGACTTTAAGACTGGATTAAATCCATTGTTTCATAGATTTTAGAATCTGACCTGGGGGAAGGTGAAGTCCTCCGTCAACCTGAATTATGCTAAGGAGTCGGCCAGGACGGTCGCCTCAGAAGAGAACCAATGTGGAGACAGCCTGCATTTTTTTTTTTTTTTTTTTTTTGCGGGGATCCAGTGCTGGCGTGGAAACCCCAGCGCCCTTCCGCCTCGGCCGGGAGGTTTCGGGAGGATGGTGACGGGTGTGGTCTGGCCCTGGCTCTGAAACCGGGGCCCCTGCGCCTCTTGCTTCGTTACAAACGAAACTTTCTCTCGCCTGGACACTCCATCCCCGCCGTGGCTCCCAACTTTCCTTCTAGACCCTGCGCCCGGCCCTCCAGCGACCTGCTCACACCCTCCAGGACGTGCGTTCTCAAGGACTAGGTAGGAATCGAGAGGAAAGGGGGCCAGTAATCCCCAAAGACTCCAGTTTTGCAGAGCAACCCCCGCCTCTATCTGGTGTAAATATTGGGACCCGGGAAAAGAGTTGAACATTTTCCTATTGTGAACTTAGTACCCGATACGGGGGCAGGAGTGTTAAAGAGAGACACACACAAATGAGAGAGAGGAGAGAGACTTTCAGCTCAACTCAGGTTAACTGCCACAGGTAAACAGTTGCAAAACTGGGCATAAAGAAGTCTCCATCCTTCGCTTTTATGTATCATTCACATTCCCAAATTAAAATAGCAGCATTGTTTTTAATTATGACAGTACAAATCCTGGGTCTGTGTACCTTAATCCCTTGGGGGTGAACCCTGGGTGCCTGGATCCCGCACCGGGCAGCGTGTGTGCCAGATGCGCCCTGCGCTGCGCCGGGAGCGAGGCCGGTGCCTCCTGCCAGGTGCAGATCTGCTCGGTCTGTCTCCAGCTGGGAGGAGGGGAACGAGGGAGCATCTTCGGAGAGAGGGGGTCGCCCCTGTCATCCGCCCAGAGAAATGGCTCTGCCCTGGGCTCTAAGTGCGAGGTTAAAACCATTTTTGGGACCAAGTCCTGGACGAGCTGATGCGGATGCGGGAGGCCTGTTCCTGGTCGGGGCAGTCTTAGACACTGCGTTCAAATGCCCTTGAGACTTGCTTTCCCCCGGGGATGCCCCGCACCGGCAACGCTCCTTGCGCACGACTTAATAAAGTCGGACCTTTTCAAGCACCCCCCAAGAGTGGAACGTGTAACACGTGGTCACAGCGATCCCCGCACATCTCTACACACTATATATATATATATATTTATTTATATATATGGGGGGATGGAAAGCAAATGATTTGCATTTTAATTGAAAAATAAATGAAAGCGATTTGGCAAATTCTGAGGTTGCAGAAAGGGCTGAAAGGGTAGGGGCGAAGAAGGCAACGCACGCCCTGGACTTTGAGGCTCGACAACCCACAGCCCGGTCTGTTTTCTGGTCGCTGTTTTTAGCCTGATCCTACTGTTACACGGAACCTGCGCCACCCACTTGACCTTCCTACCCTCAGTTTAACCCTTGACTCAGAAACGCCAAGGGCGTTTGAATATTTCTGTTTTAAGTTAAAGGAACAGCCACGAAATTCAGGGTAACTCACGGGAGGAATGCAAATGAAACCTCAGCTAAATGTACTTACATTCAGCGGTCGGGAAGGGATGATATTGGTTCTTCCCCAAATATATTAATGTCAAATGTCGGGATACTCAAGTGTAGCTGCAGAAAGTCAATTTTTATACTCGCAAAAAGAGAGGGAGGGGAGAGGGAATGGAGGAAATTAGGTGTGTATTTCAGGCCAAAAATTTCTCCAAAATGTGCTTGCTTGAATTGTCCAGATGACTTCTTTAATATTAATAACTCCACTTCCCTGGACGATTGGGGCCTGTTTGGGCTGAACCCGGAGGACAGCTGGGTTTAAGTGAATGTTGTAAAAGGGATGGAGCTGGCTGCTGCGTAGAAATACAAGGACGAAGGAAGAATGTCCCCATGCTTGGAGCAACTCAGTCTTGGAGAAGGACAGTCAGGACGGAGGGAGAATGGTGTCTGTCTCTCTTGGCTTCCTGTAGACACTGTGGAGTGCGGACTGGACCTTGACAGCTACTTCTGCTAACTGAGAATGGAGATGGTTTGGGAAGGACTGAAGTAGAGAGGGGACAACAAATGCCCTTTGGCAAAGAGCACTGTGGGAGCCTGCGTTAGGCGCTCTCCCGATGGAGGCCAGCACCGAACAAGTAGGGAAGAGAGGGTTGTAGACAGCCTCCCCTCCTGTTCTAGGATGGAAAAGATCTCGAACCTCAGGCCAGAACCTCCCTCAGCGATCTTTAGAGAGAGCATTGCACCTCTGCAGAACAGTCCCAGAACCCATACCGGAGCGACCCTGGGGGTTAAGTGCACTGAAAGACAGGATCCTGAAAGGTCCAAGAAGATGGAAAATACTAAAATCCAGAAATATCTGCAATACCAAAACCCGAGTTCAGGAATGAGAGCAAATGCGAGAAAACACTAATAACCTACTAGAGACAAAACTGGTCTTGAACTTTAGCAAAACACACACCACCAAAAATATTTACAAAGATGCAAATGCA